ATGTCTCCTGTTCACCCAAGCGTGAACACATACCACACAAATATGATACCAAATGATTTGGGATATAACGCTCTTTCATAAGATGTATAATAATTTACTGTTTATTGATGATTTTTAAAATAATTAGCAATTTTTCTAGGTGTCAACTTACAATCATGACAATTGACAATATGTCATGAATTATTGTCTTTAAAATTACCCTTATGCATCTGGCATGAATTTTGCTTGGTAATTGGTACTGAATGATTAATGTGGTAAAATAAACCTGTGTCTTAGTCATTCTATCTAGTCTTTTTCATTTGCATTATGTTTTATTCATTCTAGTTCAAATTTTTTCTGAATGATTTCACGACTATAGTTCTATGTAGCTTGTGTCTCATGGTAATTTTGAGGAAAAAGCAATCCAAGCAAAGATTTCTGAATTGTAGCGTAAATCGTTCGCCTTTGCTGCCCTTTAACCCCCCCCCCCCCCCCCCCCCCACTCCGGGGTCGGAGGGACCGCATGTTCCCAAAATGTCCGATAAAGGGGTACTTTTCACCGGCTCGTAGTACACAAAAATCCGGCCCGTATTGACTTATCACACACGGACTTAAGGGGGTGTTTTCAAAAGGAGGGAACATGCATACGCGTACCCTAAATAACACTGAGGGGAGGGGGGCGGGCCTTTAATACTTCTATGACAACCAGTATTATTTCAATTTTCAAGGACTAATGATAAATTCGTTTAACTTATGATTCCCTTAGGTTGATTCTTTTGTTCGAATTATTTGGCGGGGAGAGGTAGAAGTGAACGGTCTCACGCTTAACGACGTTGTATTATTATTATTATTATTTGTTTATCGTCTCTACGTATGCTCTTTGAATAAAAAAAACAGCCTTTATTGTTAGGCTTTCTGAAAGAAGTTTCAATTGTTGTAAAGAAATGTTTGGTTGCACCCTGTAGATTATGATGATGTGTTTGATCTTGTAATGGTGATAAGAGGTTTTAGTTAAAAGTTATCTCTGAAACTCGATGTAAACACACCAAACAGGTCCTTAATACACTAATGCACATATTATACGCATACACGTAATACACATGTGGGCAAAAATGTTGTTTTTGTGGGAATCAATTCAATAACTTTGGATTGCTATAACTTTTTATTGAAAAGATATATAAACCTCTCCCTCGCACAGGATATCGTCTTTGTACATAAACAAATTACTGGAAAGTTATGAAAAATGCAATTCTCCGATTTTGATATATGGAAAATAATCTTTTTTGATAAAATTAAATATTCAAAAAAAAATCATGCTTTTTACTTAAATTGGCGATGTTAATTAATCCTAATTTCGTTGAAATAAGTTTCACAATATAGATCATTTAATTTTTCATTCATTTGACACCAAACTCATGGTGGTTCAAGGTTTCCTAAAAATATTATTTACAAAATACTATTTTGTCGTCAAAAGGGCCGCTTTTTTGGAGGGAGTACCCCCCAGGCCACACCCATCACTTAGAACATGCCAGACGGTCAATTTGTTATATGGAGTTATTTGATCTTTACATCTGTGCACATGAAAAATTAGTTTCCTTTCCAGCTAGGTTGATCGCTCTGGCTCCCGGAATAGAAATAATGGCTTTTGACCCACATTCATTGTTTGAGCCCAAACTCGGTAAAAGTAAGGTGATCACACTGCCTGTGCAAACAGTCTGCATGCCCCGCGAGCACACACACACAACAACAGTCAGTTGGTAGAAATAGCATTTTTGTAAATGTATTTAAAAAAAACTAAACAATATTTGTGAATTTTTATTTCACATATATTTCAAGCATATCTTTAACTACAATTCTGTGTAGTTTCATTGTATAGGCATGTGGGAAATATGTTAATTATTGAATTAGAATATTGTCTTTTCAGCCATGTGTGACATGGCCCGCTGATCGCCCATTGACTCGCGCTGCTATTCTGCGTGGTGAAAAAAATGCACCTCAATTTTTTAAACTCCCCTACAAAAATGCAATATCCTCGTGTGTTTCACTCATTAAATAAATAAGTTATATTCACACAAGGTAGCCACAACTGTACTGGAGTCACTAAAGTTTCTGCCACTCTGAAATTCAGTCCCTGTGGAATGTTAAGGCCTGTTGAATGGTATCTCGGAAAATCATCATAAATCCTCAAATCTGACATCTTTGAAAAAGGCAGATATACCGTGATGTAGCTGAAAGTCTACAAATTCTTATCATATGATCGGTTTTTCTGAATTATTTGTGAAACACATGAGGAAATAGCTGTGACGGTGATCCAAGTAATTTCAATCGCCATATTGTATTGGCATTGCAAAAATATTAAGAATTTAAGGTCAATATTTGGTGTAAATATGATCTATGAATATATGATTTAATAAATGCCCCAAAAATGAACAGTTTGACTTTCCTAATTTGCATAATGAGTGCGCGAATATATAATTAGCTGAAATGACCTAATTTGCATATTTGATGAATATTCATGATTTTATTTTATTACAAATTATTTTATTACAAATGAAATATATTTCCATACCTGTCTGATATACATAGGTTTCATTGATGTATCATGTTCGGTTTTGATTTGATTACATATGCGCATATTAATTAGGCGGACTTAGTTATTTTCACAACTTTTTTATATCTGCAGATTCGTAAAAATGGCAAAAATGACTTATTTTGTTGGCTTCTGTTTTCAAAACGGTAATAGATATATCAATTTTCTTTTTTGTAATTTTTACCACAAAGATGATATTTTAGTGTCTGATAATTTAATTCATTATTTTTGTCCAAGAAAGGGATGAATTAAGTTGTCAACTTTGTCGAATTATGCCATTTTTGACAATTTGACCATTTCTGGCAGGTTTTTCGGTAATTTTGCGATATCAAAAAAATGGTATTAAATCACAACGCATTGACCGATTTCAATTCTGTTTTTTGTTTTTAGAAGCTTTCATAAAGCTTGATCATTTGCAACCATCAAATAACATGTGTTTGTTGTAATTATTTTTGGTGTGCTATACCTAGTAAAAGAGGATGCTGACAATAATATATGAAACGTCTGCTGCTCAGTAATAAGTATCAGCACATTTATAAATATGGTATGGTTTAAATTACACTTTACCATGGAATATGATTCGAGGTTACATAGGTTATAACTTTTTGAATTAGAAGCTACCAAAGTTGGGCGCCCTTTTTTTTTGTATAGGCACTGTATAGCTAATATTTGAGGGATGGAAGTACGTGGCAATAAGGTATCCTTTCTTTATAATTGGTGTCATTTGCTTTTAAGAGACCCCAAACATAGTCTTATTATTTTGGAATATTAAAAACTGAGTAAGTGGTGAGTAGTAATATTGTGCCTCCGTAATGAAACTACACCAACTTTATGTAATAATTATTGCATCGCCGGATGTAGGAGCGCGGGGCACATACCAACTTTCCAACCCCTCGCCTCCAAACCCCAACCCCTCCCCCCCCCCCCAAAAAAAGTGTCGAGGTGTCGTGGTCTAGTTGATACGTCACTGAACTATGGATCACATGGTCCGCGATTCGATCGAGTCCCGCCGCCGCGCTTAGTATTGGCTGAGAGGTACCAGTTGAAACCAGTTGACACCACTGGTAAACTTCACATGCACCAGTATATCCCAGTTAAAACCCATTGACTCTACTGGCATGCTGAAAACAACCAGTTGATTCCAGTTAAAAGCAATAGGCCTCACTGATACATCTGCCGGTTTTGTCCAGTTTAAAACCCATAAAATCAGAGTGGACCATTTGAGACCAGTTGTTTCCAGTAGATGATTACCAGTTGATTTACCAGTTGAAAACCAGTAGATGATTACCATTTGAAAACATATAGATGATTACCAGTTGAATTACCAGTTGAAACCAGTAGATGATTACCTGATGATTTACCAGTTGAAAACCTGTAGATGATATTGACAGTTGATTTACCAGTTGAAATCAGTAGAATACCAGTTGAAAACCAGTTCATTGTATCTTGTGCATATTCATGCTTAATTTGCATATTTTCACAAAAAATATAATTATCATGATCTGTCAAGCAAATGTGACAATTAATGCACATCAATTTTGTGATTTATATTTTATTAGTCAATCATTGACAAATATATTATATATGCCTGATTATGTTTTACGTCTAATTTAAGACGTACAAATAGATATAAAGATATATGTAATTAATAACCAGTAAAAAAAAAATGTATACTTTTGTATATTATGTATACGATCTCTAAATTCTTTAATTAACATTAGACTCAACTGCAATTCACTTTAAATGATCTTTGTGATGGGGGCAATTGCAAGAGTCTATAAAAATATGGTTTAGTTGGTGGCAAGATGCCATACAATATTGATTATTGATTATCAGTTGATTGATAGTCGCTACTGATTAATCAATTGGTAATCAACTGGTTTTCAGTACCAGTTGACAACTGGTTTTCCAACTGATACCAGTACCAGTTGATTCCAGTTGATTTCAACTGGTACTAGTACCAGTTGATTCCACTATACCAATTTCCATGTTGAAACCAATTCACCTATTATTACTGGAATCCCAGTTGATTCCAACTGGTCCCCAACTGTTTGTTTGACCTGGGTAGGAAACTCAAGCGGAGCAATTATTGTCACAGCCAGATCGAAGCAAGTTTATCGTAACAACCGTTTTGACTTCAATGCCTGTTTACAATATTAGTTGCTGACGTAGGACTGTGTCAGGATAGATGAGGACTTTGGTGACATCGTACAAAAGTTGATTGTTGATTGAAAATGTACCGTGCAAACATTGTATTGATTAGGTCCTCCCACCTCCCTGCGTATACTAACGCAGCTAGGAGTCGAATTGACGCCACGTTTACGTGTGCAAATCAGTGATGTAAGTTTAATTCATTAATCATCGCATAATTTTGAATTTACTGTGAGTAATCTAATGGCTAATTTTATCAAACACTCTCATACATTTACAGATCAAAAACACAGCTCACTGGTCCGGTAAAGACTCTAACAGTGATCCAAGGGAACGCAACACAAGCCCTGGTGTCCACTGATGATCTACCCGTGTGTACACTAGGATACAACAGCAAGCGACCAGAAATTGCGGGATATTACGATCAGGGCAATTGGTTTTCACCTACCTGTCGGGTTCATCGATTCAGAGATGTTGCTCAAATAAAGAAATGTTTCAGTAATAGACAATTGTTCTTCTTGGGAGATTCTTCTATACGCCAGCTACACGAGTATTATCTGAAAACGCTGAAGTTATCAATGTCTTTCTTAGGAGAAAAGGGGACTGGCTATACGGGACCCGTTTCGGGTAAAGATTTGAAGAACAATATAACAACATTATTTGCTTTTCACAAATACCCTATTGGCAAAACTACTTGGACTTGTGACAGAGATTTGGAATACATTGCTACAAGAATCGGCAAGATTGCCAGCTCTGGGTCTCCTGTCGTCGTAGTTTCTGTGTGGGCTCATTTTGAATCTACTCCTCCTCTGTTTTACGAGAAAAGGGTGCGAGGAATAGTAGCGGCCATGGGAAGATTGCTAGATAGGAACAAACGCGCTGTGGTGTTATTCAAGAGCGGCAACACACGACAACACACGACTTTCGGCCAACATGCGTGTTGCAGTGATTGGTACGCGAGAGGCAATGAAGAGCGCATGCGTAAGATTATCTTCCAGGATAGCAGGATTGGTTTCATCGATGCTTGGGATATGACGCATGCGCAATTGCAAGCTGATAATGCGCACCCAACGGGGTCCCATATCGTCAACATGAACGACAAACTCCTTACGTTGTTAGGCTGTTCCTAAATAATGGAGTCGTTGTGGTCGATATCATACCATTGCAACTTTGTAAGCATCCGTGACAAAGGAAATGCGTATAAAGGGGTGTTATTTTAGATTGAACGTGGTCCGCGCGGTGCCGCATTAAGGGGTTACTACGTCCATTTTGGGTCAATTTAAAGAAAAAGGGTACTTTTTTAGAACGGTTCAAAATCTAGGTATTTTTCTAGCCCTCAGGGCCAGACCTACCAAGTCTCACGCCTATAGCTGGTCATAGAGAAACTTTAGTTCATTACAGGGGCGGCGATCCCGGGGGGACGGGGGGACACGTCCCCCTCAATTTTGTTTAGGGGGGATCGTCCCCCCCCCCCCCCTGAAATTTGAAAAAGTGCATAAAGAAAATGTATAGCGAATACTGACTAAAGACTAAATAATTTAGACTAATAAAAATGCAAACATCTTCTAGCTCGGTCGCTACGCTCCCTCGCATAATATCCTTTAGAATGTACAAGTAAATATTGTAGAAAATCCGTATTCCGTTGGTATCCCCATGAAACCCACTAGCGTACTGATGGGGGGGGGCATTCGCCTCCCCCAAATAAAACTCAAACTTGTTTTATTTCTAATTCAATACCCGTGATATACAAATGTTGTTGAAATGACATGATTTTTCGTGATGTTTTATCACTTTTGTGTCAATTATACCTTTTCTTTGCGTTTGTTGGACAATGAAAATTCCCAAATTTACAGCCAGGCAAGACATATGCTTATTAAGAAGCCTACAGGACTTGTCAGGGCCCACGGAACGGCAGGGCTCGGGGGCTCGAGCCCCCCCCCCCCCCCCCACTTTCTTGAAAAAGTATGTAATAGATAAACAGAAAGAAAGAAAGAAAGAATGGTGGCCTGCCAGTGTCACAAATAAGGAATCAAAATATGCTCATCCGACCTTATTTAAAGGCCTAAAACCCTTGAGCTTCCGGGGGCTCCGCCCTTGACCCCCGCCGGGGCTTTCCCCCTAGAGCCCACGCCAATTTACGCTACACTCTACCTGATCGTAAATACTTTAGCCCCCCCCCCTCCCACTTTGCAAAAACGTTCGCGGGGCCTGCATGTAACGCGTAAGAGTGGTGGTGACGCGGATTTTTTCCCCTCCCCCCCCCCCTCCAAAAAACCCGTTTTTGCTCATTACGCCACTAGTGAAACCAAAGGAATACAAATTTTTCCTCGCATTTCGTCCCCCCACCCCCCACCGGTCATGAAAAGAAATCGCCGCCCCTGGTTCATTATGTTGTATTATTTTGTTATATTTTGTTTTGCATAGTAGAATAGTAACTGTTCATTGTACATTGTGTACTTTTTGTAAACACTACATGTACTTTATATGAAATAGATTTGAAATTTGTAATTTAAATCTTTTTTTCAAAAGACTGGACTTATGATGGCTGTGCATTAAACCTATTTGGAAGTGTACAGGTTGATGTAATTCTTCTCCATTGAAGTAAATTGTTACATTGTGAATTTTCAATATTAACCATATTATCTGTGTCGTACGAAAACAAAAACAGGAATATTTTCGGGATGTACATAATAAACATAAGAATAATTCGAAGAAATTATGGACAGAATTGAATAAGATTTCTGGAGTGACAAAGTCTAAGGACCAGAGCTGTAATATTGAATGTAATGAAATGAACGATTTTTTTATTAATACAGGTAACAATAGCTCTAGATCATTTGTTAAAGAAAAACCGAAATGGAATCATCCACATTGTATTTATGAATTTTATTTTCAACCAATTGTTAGTTCCAAGATTCTAAAACATTTAACTAACTTAGCTTCAAATAGCAATTTAGATGTCTTAGACTTTGACACTAAATTACTCAAATTAGCTGCACCATATATTGCTCAATCCCTATGTGCCATCTTTAATGCAAGTCAGGATACGGGAATAGTACCTGATGATTGGAAGATTGCACGTACCACACCGATTTTCAAAGGAAAAGGCTCAAAAAATGAAAAAACAAATTATCGACCAATTTCGGTTGCTAGTCATATTCCCAAAATTATAGAAAAGGAAGTACAATTACAGTTACTTTCCTACCTTCAAAAACATGATATGATTAATGTCGATCAATACGCCTTTCTTCCAAACCATTCAACTGTAACATGCTTACATCGTGTCATAGATGACTTCTACGAAGCCTTAAATACGAAAGAAATGGTCGGTGCATGCTTTCTAGACATCTCTAAATGTTTTGATTGTGTTGATCACGAGCTTCTTCTATTCAAACTTGAAAAATATGGAATAAATGAAAACAGGCTCATATGGTTCAAAAACTACTTAAGTAATAGGAAGCAAGTGGTATACTCCAAAGGAAAATTATCTGATACAAGAGAGCTTTCTATCGGAGTACCACAGGGCAGTGTCCTGGCCCCCATTTTGTTTCTTATATTCATAAATGATATTTCTGAATGTATAACTGAAGGCGTCTGCAACATATTTGCTGATGATGTTGTAGTCACTGTTGCAGATAGTAAGATAGATGATGTTACAAAGAAATTACAAAAAGATATTAATGCTCTTAATAATTGGTATAAACAAAATAGATTACGCATTAACACAAGTAAAACCAAAGCAATGTTAATAAAATTAAGATCCTTTGAAGTATTAAATATATACATAAAAGATGAACTGATAGAACAGGTAAAATCTATAAGATATTTAGGTATAGTGATTGATGAAAATTTGAAGTGGAATGTATACTTAAGAGAATTATGTAAATTTATTGCCTATAAAATCTATTCTCTAGGAAAGCTGAGTAAATTCGTAATCCCAGAACTATTGAACACCCTTTATAAGTGTGTAATCCAACCCTGTATAGACTATGCAATATCTGTATGGGGGAATTGCCCAGCCAGCTACAAGCTGCCCCTTCAGAGATTACAGAAAAGAGCTGCTAGATATGTAACTGGTATCTTTGACTATGAACTTGCAAGCGGCAACACATTGATAAAAAAACGGTCCTGGCAAACTATTGATCAGCGCCGTGATTATTTTCTGGCTATGCTTATGTTTAAATGTATAAGGGGCATTGCTCCACCTCGTTTATCAAATGAAATAGAAATGTATTTCGACCGCCATGGCCTAAACACAAGAAATGCAAACTCCCTTAATGTAGTATTGCCAAAACCCAACGTAACCTTATTCAAACAATCTTTTAAGTATGCTGGAGCGGTTAATTGGAATAAGCTTCCCAATGATATCCAAAATGCCAATTCAGTAGAGAGTTTTAAATATCAATATAAAAAATATTCCTTTAATGGATAAAATTTGTTCACTGCCGTTTCTCCTCACTACTACAACATTATATGCAACAACCTGTAATGATTGCTAACCCAATTACCTAGAAATTTCAAATACCTACATTACGTCCTAAATTTGATATTTATTTTTGTATAATTATGCAATATAAACCATATTTACAACTCATTGGGCTTAATCTCTTAATCTCTCATAAAATGTTTATTAACTTCATTGTTATATATCATTCTAATGTAATCGTTTTTATATTGATTTTATATTTTGTCTCCTCTTTTCGTTTTCCCTAAGCTTATTTTTCCTATTTGTGTTGTTTTCGTTTTTTTACCATTTGTATAAAACTGCTATTTTGTTTGTAACTACTCTTAATGTCAGTCTGTATTTGTATTTTCCATCCTTATGCAGGACCATTATGTAAAACAGCCTGCGAGCTGATTAATGTTATCCTGTTAAAAGATGTTTTAATAAAAAAAATATAAAAAAATATAAAAAAAAATACATCAGAAGCACAATTTGATTTATTTCACATTTTAAATGGTAATCCCTATCGCACTTTAAAATGTTCAAGGGGTTACAATTTTACAATATTTGTTTAGAGTACACTTTTTTGAAATACCTGTTTAGGGTTTGAATTCGGGGGAAAAACACGCGAAATCCTCATTTAGGGTGTATTTTGGCTTCAGAAGAAATCCTCGTTTAGGGGCTGTCTGGAAAACCTGTGGTCACGCATGCTTACAGCATTTCTACATGACTGACACCCCCGTGATTGCAACAAAGTTTAATTAAACCGTTTCTATAGTATCATACGAGTCCACTTTGTTAGTATAAACCGCCATGGGAAATATTACTAGACCAAGTAAATTTAGTGAATGACATGTCCCTCTCGTGGTGAGAAGGAAGCATGAATGCAAAGTAGCATTGCTTTGATAGGTTATATGTACAAACGAATGCTTTTGTATTGTGTTGTATTGTAGTGGTTTATTAAGATAAAAATCATCGAACATGCAGGTGATGGCTTACATGGTTCAATTTACAGAGTAAAAAGTACATGACATGAAAACTAAACAAATATTGTGTATATTTAAATACGATTTATAAGCTTCATTGATAAGGTGTAGAGGTGTCGCGTGGTCGAGTGGATACATCGACGGACTGTCGATCGTAAGGTCCGCGGTTCGAGTCCCGCCGCGGCACTAATGTCCTTTGGCAAGACATTGATCTACATTTGCCATACCCAACCCAGGTGATGTAAATGTATATGTATATGGGTACCTGGCAGGAATTAATTCCTTGAAATGAAATTAAATGAAATGCCAGAGCGCCGCAGTGATTGCCTTGCTAAAGTAAAGCCAGGGTAATATTTGGGGCAGTGCCAGGAGCGTCACAACGTGACGGACAGGTGCGCTTTTTAAGAAGCCACCATTATCATTATCTTATTAAATTTTCATTATAATTTTTTTTAAAGAAATTTGATAATTAAAATTAACAGCTTTATTACAATGACGTAGTAGGTTGCCCACGAAGACTGATAGTGATGATTTCTAAACCATATAAGATATAAAGATTCATAGCTTAGTACAAATAACAAAGAAATAGAGCTTAAAATGTACATGCAGGTGAAATCACATGTAGGTGTTTATAAAAAATTAAGTACAATAAAAGATGGAAGATTTAAGCTAAGTTTTAATAATTGTCAAACAAGAATTATGTTTTGTTAGTAAAACCGCGATAAATGGTTACTTGATTATATAATAATATTGTTATAGGACTGTACGCGTGTAAAAAGTCCTAGGAAATGAAAGTGGTCGAAAACATTGTAGGCCTATTTGTATATTTTCATTCGCATTTGTATTTGTATTTCTATTTGATTAGAATCTTCATTCATATGGTGCATTTAATGCACCATATTTTGTTTTGCACTTCATTTGTATAATTTCAATTGATATGTATTATTTCGAATGAGATGTAAATGTTCAGAAGACGGGAGCCCATGACCTCACAAGTAC